TCTTTTATAAAGTCCATTCATGGACCCCAGAAAGCCTTTAGGTTTTGGAGGAAATATTTGTGTGTCATTCTAAAGGCTAAAGTAGGATGATTAGGTGCAGATACTAGTAAGTGGATTTGAAACAATCAGACGTCAAACAATGCAAGGGGTTGCCTCATGAGGTGGTGATGGGGGATATTTATGCAGACCACCTGTTGGAGATGCTGTTAAAACCCTAAATTGTTGGGGACAGTGGATGAGAGGACCTCTGAGGTCCTGGTGTTCTTTAGTTCTCAGACTAAGGCCATTGAAAGGAGCAAGCTGGGCTACTTGAAGAAAATTAGAAGTGAACAAAAGTATAGGGCTCTTGAAATCCATTTTAGCCATTTGAGAATGGTTGGATTGTTTCTGATGCAGTGGAGATGTTGAGGCAGTTGAGACTGAAGCTGTCCTTCAGGAAGAGTTGGTTGGGTTGGGCTGGGAAAAAATGGATTGGAAACCGTTGAGAGTCTGACCGCAGCTAAGGCAAAGGACAGGGAAACAGAATGCTCTGGTTGTTTAAAAGTTTGTTTTCTATCTGAACATACTGAAGTTATGGATCATACCTTGATTTGAATCTGTAATTTCTAGAAGTTTGTGTTTCTAGCCCAGTTCTTGGGACCATCAAGCCAGCTCATTGACCAAATACTTCAAGAAGGAGAACCAAGCAGCTCTCCATTTTCGAAAGGCTTCTGTAATGTAAATAGGAACAGCAGTCTTTCCAAGTTATTACCCTGTTAACAGGTTGACAGATATGTGCAAATTGTGACTCACTGCTCAATTTGGCACTAAATTAATGTCTTTCCGCGCCGCGTCTGCTCAAGTGTAAACTAGTCACCACTGCTGTGTTACTGCTTGTTTGCCTATATTCCAAAGGTAAAAATTAAAGTAATTTGATTCTGCCACAGAACAGAGTGTAACATATGGTGGAAGTGTAGGAGGGGAGCACGCTGTTCCTACCTGTCCTTAGCCCTGCTCTCAAAGTGGGGCGCCGCACTGCAGAGCCCGCTGCAGACGCTAGCAGTGCTCACTGTCTCGGGAGGCAACACTCGGAGAGTACTGCCAGAGACCACCTCCCGTATCAACACTCTCTCTCTCAGCGAAAAAAAGAGTGTCATTTTTGTCTCTAGATTTTTAATTTGAGCCTCCAAGCTTTCCTTATTTCTGTCAAGTCACTAGTGGTTGATTTGTGTTTCGAAGGTGGGGTCTGTTTGAAAATGAAGTGTTTTGATTTTTGCCTCGCGAATTTAGACATTGTTTTCCTCAGCTAAAGATGCAGCTGACTTTCTCTCTTTCCCTTTTTGGCAAATACATAATGTCACCTGTAGAAAAAAAAATTGCATCTCCTTTGTGTTAGACATGTGAATGGAAAACAATCTCCTGAAAATGCAGTTTTGCTTCCTACAGTCTTTGAGTTTGCCGAGCTTTGTCTAAGGTCACGGGTTGGGGAAGAAACAACAAGACAAGAACAACAAAACCCACCTGGATCTCTTCACTTACCCGCGCCAACAGCAGATATTTTCCCTGGGAACTTATTTTTCTTTTGCCATTGCCTTTTCTTAGAGGTAAAAGTCTCATCAATAAAGGAATCAGAAATGGCCAGGAACCTTTGTTTGCCCATTTAGAACTCTGGCCCTTACTAAAAGCAAGCAAAGTTAGGTAGTTGGCATGGAATTCTAGAAATCTACACACTGAGCTTGGTTTCTGGCTTTTTGCTTGACCCGGGATCATCACTTAACCCACCTCATTTCTTTATTTTTCTAGCCTCCTAAGGAAACTAGTTTTCCAGAATGTATCTTGATGCCTTCAAGGTGAAAGGTACAAGGGAAAGCAAATTATGATGTTACCTTTGTGCTGAAGATCTGCATATTCATCTGCTTTCTGCTGTCCAGAGCTATGATGGCTATTGATTGAGGATCAGTTCAGAAGACATCGCCTATCCTCCTCCCCATTAGCATATACTTAGCAATGACCTCCATTCACGCAGGACAGTGGATGTTTGCTTCCTGCTGAGTCGGAAGAAACTGGGTTTAAACCACACATATAGATTTAGAAAAGAAGTATATACATGCAGGAATGTTTCCAATGACCTGGTATAAACTTTGGGCATGACGTTTTTGTCATGTGCCTTCACCATTTCAAGAAACGTCAGGCAATGATGAAAAATGAGTTCATTTCCTCTTCTCTTCACTTCTCACCCCTTTTGTAGCATTTAAGCTTAGATCCAAGGTTGTGTGTCATGATGCTATAAATCTAGAAGGAACCGCGGGACATGATGTGTGGTCAGCCTGTGTCTTAGCCATCCAGGAAAGATTGTTTATTAAACCATTAAAAAATCAGCAGAGGCCAGGCGCGGTGGCTCACGCCTGTAATCCCAGCACTTTGGGAGGCCGAGGCGGGCGGATCACGAGGTCAGGAGATCGAGACCATCCTGGCTAACACAGTGAAACCCCGTCTCTACTAAAAATACAAAAAATTAGCCAGGCGTGGTGGTGGACACCTGTAGTCCCAGCTACTCGGGAGGCTGAGGCAGGAGAATGGTGTAAATCCGGGAGGCGGAGCGTGCAGTGAGCTGAGATTGTGCCACCACACTGCAGCCTGGGTAACAGAGGGAGACTCCATCTCAAAAAAAAAAAAAAATTCGGCAGAATGGGGCCTTGCCTTTAAGAAATGCTCTCATTCTTTCTGAGCAAGTTCACTTTTTGGTGCCATATCCTCACAGTATGGTGCTTTTAAGAGATGGGAGATGCTGTTTGGTACTGAGTTCATAAAAGCCATTCATGTACTTGAAGAATATCAAAGTCTCCCTCGGCCTTCTTTTCTCCAGGAGCAAATACCCTTCAGTGCACCTCCACGCCTTCTCGCTCATCTCTGCTGCAGTCTGCTTACTGTTGTCGTTGTTTACCGCTGGGCCCTCTCTAATTTTTCCCCTTCCTTCTTCAGCTGAAAGTTTTAAAACTCGACATCACATTCTCTAAGGAAAACCTGATAGGCTTTCCTTAGAGAATAGGTAGGGTCGCTTTCTGACTTTCAGAGCTGGCATGTGATGTTCGCTTTTTAACAAATGGCATTATGTTTTCTGCTCTCTCTCATGAGCCCCAGGTTCAAACTAAAATCTTTTCATGTTGTGAACAGAGAACTAATCTCCCTCTTACCCCAAGAGAATACACCTTTTATAGGTCCCTGACTTAATGGACATGTAATGTAATTTGTCATAGCCAATGGATATGAAATCCAATGTAAAATCCTTAATAGATAGTTTTACATGTCAGCTATTATATTATACATCCTCTTTGTGTCCAGTGTGATTGGATGGTGAACACAAATTCTTGTATGATTTTGTTCTCAAAGGAGCTGAGCCAGACCCTACTCGGTGCTATGGGCGCTACCACTGTAGGGAAGAATTTATCCCAGTAAGAGAGGGCATTTTTGCAGAATTGGCCCATGGTGTAAGTGGTAGAACTACCCATCAGGGCACTTACAATTTTTGAGTCCTTTATATGTGCCAGTTCTCATGCTCAGTCCTTAATGTCACTGACCTCAATTATTATTAAACCTTAAGAGATACAGGTTTCATCTGGGCTGTAAGAACAGAGGATTCCCTTTTGGTGGGATATCTCCAAGGAAAACATGAAGCTGATAGCTTGCCTGATATGTTTGGAGTAAGAGTCAGGTAGAGAGTTTGGGAATAAAACTGTAACAGATACGTAGAAAACTAATCAAATGAAAAGGCAAAACAGGGCTGGGTGCAGTGGCTCTCGCCTGTAATCCCAGCACTTTGGGAGACTGAGGCAAGGCTAATCACTTGAGGTCAGGAGTTTGAGACCAGCCTGGCCAACATGGTGAAACCCCGTCTCTCCTAAAAATACAAAAATTAGCCAGAAGTGGTGGTGGGCGCCTGTAATCCCAGCTACTTGGAAGGCTGAGGCACGAGAATCGCTTGAACCTGGGAGGCGGAGGTTGCAATGAGCTGAGATAGCACCACTGCACTCCAGCCTGGGCAATAGAGCAAGACTCAGTCTCAAAAAAAGAAAAAAAGGAAAGGCAAAATAGAAATACAAGAAAACAGAAAGCTGTATAAGTAAATAAATGTAGTCATGAGCTACTATGTAGCTCAGCTATTAAAAATACATGCAGAGATTTTAGAATATAATCACAGACTACTGATTTAAGTAAAAATTGTGATATAACTTGAATTAGAGCACAACCAGGAGATCAGGAGTGACTTCAGGTATTTAAAAACAAGGAATTGGCCGGGCGTGGTGGCTCCCGCTTGTAATTCCAGCACTTTGGGAGGCCGAGGCGGGCAGATCACAATGTCAGGAGATCGAGACCAGCCTGGCCAATGTGGTGACATCCCATCTCTACTAAAAATACAAAAATTAGCCAGGCGTGGTGGCATGTACCTGTAGTCCCAGCTACTTGGGAGGCTAAAGCAGGAGAATCATTTGAACCCAGGAGGTGGAGGTTGCAGTAAGCCGAGATCACGCCACTGCACTCCAGCCTGGGTGACACAGCAATTGTCACCCAAGTTTTTGTCAAAAAAAAAAAAAAACAGAAGGAATTTAATCCCGGGAATTGGTTATTCCAGTGATTCAGAGGAGAAGCCTGATGAGACAGTGAGACAGCCCAGAGGTGTGCAACAGCAGGACACTGCTGCCATCCTGGACTGGAAGGACAAAGGGAGGGAGCCATGTTGTTGGAGCCCAGTGACCCAGCAGGTGACACAGCTAAATTCTGACCTCCTATAGAAGAAAATTAATAGTCGTGCCTTAAAATGAAAAATCAAGAACTAGCATTAAAAACACATTATCTGGACATACAGAGGTAAAGACAAAAAGGTTTCTAATCCTATTTGCCTTCTTAAAAATGTGTTATGTTGATTTAAAATTACATTTAAAAGCAATGTCTTTCGAATACTATTAATCTGTAGTTCTTAACTGGAGTCGTAGTTCACACATGTTTATTTTTTTCCCACTTAGATATGTTGATGATGTGATCAACCGCATTGACAGGATGTTTCCTGAAATGTCCATCCACTTATCCAGACCCAATGGAACATCAGCAATGCTTCTGGTAAGATCAGCTTGACTGATTTGTAGGGATGTTGGGGGAAAAAAATGGACTTCTCAATTAATTCTCTGGTCCTGTGTTGTAGGATCTATGGAATGGGGATTAAATTCCAATTTGATGGTGAATAACATATTTCCTTTACTGGCATTCTGTAGGTTAATAATTCTGCACATTGAACCCTTGCTTTTGAACAAAATTGCAGATCTCATGTAAGAATTAACCAGAGAGGAAAGACACTGTAAGACCGTTTTACCTTAAGTCACTTCATGCAACCTCCCAATGTTTTGGTGAATCTGTTTTCTGTCTTCCCCAAAGAAGTATAGTAGATAATAGTGATGCTCAACTGTTGGATCCTGCTAAAGAAAACGCTCTCTTAATACAAAACCAGAATATTATGTATTTGAAGAGAGTGTTCTGAGGCTTGTGACTGATGACTTCTGGTTTTGCCGTTTCTGATTATGGTTTGCTCTGAACACATCACCTCATAATCTCCTGGTGGATGTTTGTATTTGCATGAATTCACCAAAGACAGGTGTGTTTTGGAAATACAGTGGGATAGAAATGCCAGATTATATTATTAATTAGGAAGTCTAGAGACCTCAATGATGAGAAGCTTTTCTAGTGGTCTGTATAATAACACTTGTATGTGCTTGAAGAATACTTCCCTGAACACAGATTTTTGAGGAACCACCACATTTTATAAAAAAGCAGAGTTTATCCCAGCACTTTGGGAGGCCGAGACGGGCGGATCACGAGGTCAGGAGATGGAGACCATCCTGGCGAACACCGTGAAACCCCGTCTCTACTAAAAAAAATAGAAAAAACTAGCCGGGCGAGGTGGCGGGCGCCTGTAGTCCCAGCTACTCGGGAGGCTGAGGCAGGAGCATGGCGTAAACCTGGGAGGCGGAGCTTGCAGTGAGCTGAGATCCGGCCACTGCACTCCAGCCTGGGCGACAGAGCGAGACTCCGTCTCAAAAAAAAAAAAAAAAAAAAAAAGCAGAGTTTATTGAATAAGAATGATGGTTTCAATGGGTGTCAGGGAGGTAAGGTTCAGGACTGGGTATTTTTTCCATCTATTCTGCTGTTGCTGCTTTGGAGCCTAGTGCGAACTCCTTATATTTTAGCATTTTACTTGTGTGAAATCTTATAAATAGCCAGTCACCCAGGATGAGTTACTATTTACTCCAGCCCATTCATCTTAGGGGAACATTGTGTGTGCATGTGTGTTTTGGTCTTAAGACAGGAAAAGATCTGGGCTTGTTAAATGTTTGTTACTTCATTTGTGGGGAAAAAAAATTAGTGACATCCACCTGGATAACATGCTACTTAAAAAATTTCTTTCAGTTAAAACATAAAGAAAAGGAGATAATGCTATGTTTTTTTTTTCATAGAAAAGGGAAACAGTTTTCTTCACATAAAATGTATCTGTCTACAGAACACAAAATATCTTCTGCTTCCAGAGGTTGCAGTGAGCTGAGATCGTGCCACTTTACTCCAGCCTAGGCAAAAGAGCGAGACTCTGTCTCCAAAAAAAAAGTCTCTCTCAGTTAAATGTACAAATTGCCCAGATTTTAAGATACCCCAGACCCAGCAGTTGAAACATAAATCCTGCTCTCAGCATACCTGACAGGGTCCCAAAGAGTTAATGAAGATAGAAATGAATGAATGCATCCTCAGTGAAATAGGTTTGTTCAAATTATTTCTGGGTCATTGAGCTCCCATTTCATGACGAGGGTGGGATTTGGCATTGAAGGGAATGAGCAGAGGGAACAAGATTCCAGGCAAACAGGCTACACAGATGAGTTGCTTCCACCTGAGAAGGCAGGCATGTATTTCACAGTGACGGTCGACCTCGCCTGCTTTCCCATGGAGCTTCTGTCCTAATAGACTGATGAGAGAGTTTAGGGACTCAATTCAAGGCAAGAATCACGTTTCACATCCCCGGTTTATTTACTACCACCAACACCCATCCACCCCCGCTAATTCAGACATGTGCATCTAGGTGCCTACTTGTTATCTTTCTTCAGCGACACAGGAACTCACAGAAGCTGGTGCTTACTTACAGCAACAGTGGTAGGTGATCTGATTCAGAATCAGATTGCCACGGGGTTAATCGTACTTTTAACATAATGCCTGCGTTTGGCGTTTACTATTAGAAGTTGGAATTTTATGAGACGGCAAATCTCTAGGCTATTCACTCCTCCCACATCCATCATGAGGTGGGTGACGGGAATTCCTACCTGGAGGGGGAGCAGGACCAACAGATGCCTCCTCCCCCACTACCTACTGCTAGTCACCTGTTCCCTGGACTTCACTGGTAAAGTTTTGGGGCCTAGACTGTAGGCAGGAGGTGTAGGCAAGACTTGAAAGTGTTTTCTGGAGATGAACCTGGAATAAATTGAATTAACCGGGAATGCAGTGTATTCCAGAAGGCTATGGGGAAAGACCAGTTAGGAGGCCGTTGAAGCAGGGTGCACTTGAGCAGTCTCAGCCGACGCCTTCCTTTACCTCCCTTGGCAAATGTCCGAACTGCGCCTGTGCTTTTGAAATAAAATGGCATTTCCTCTGGAATTGGCTGGGCTTCCTTGAATGCGGTCAACAGCAACTGATTGACTCACATAAGGAAAGAGTTGGTTGGGTTTTGCTGTTTGATGGTGCCAGGTACATGAGACTCAGTGATGAAGCTGACCTGCCAGGCAGGACAAAAAGCAGAGTAGCTCCAGGCATGTCAGGAACAAGATCAGGACAATGTTTGTTAGGGGGCCCCATGGCCCAAATGATTCCATATGAACTGCCTTCCATCCCTGTGCATACAGTCTGGGAAGAACACTCCTGCTGGCCTAGCCTGCCATTGCTCCTTGCTCTGAGCCCCGAGGATGCGGGAGTCAGGCCTTGGCAGCCCCACAGAACTGCAAGGAGTGGAGGGAAAGTAATTCCCTAGAGGAACCAGCCGTCTGTATGACACAGTGAACGTCTGTGTGGACAGAGGCTTGTGGCTTACGCAGCACTTGTCTCATCTGATCCCCACTGTGGCCCTCGAGGTAGGGTAGCACCAACTGTGCTCATTTGACAAGTAGGAACTGGAGGAAGTTGTTTCCTGGGCTTGTGCGGTCAGAACACCTATCCCTATCTCCCCAAGCCTCCAGGATGCTATCCTCTTGTCTCTGAGGACAGTTCATGCTGGTGGCAAGTAAGATTTGGACTACCAGGCACCAGGCTGATTTTTTCTTTTCCTTTTTCGTTGTTTTTTTTTTTTTTGGAGACAGATTCTCACTTTGTCACCCAGGCTGGAGTGCAGTGGCGTGATCACAGCTCATTGCAGCCTCAACCGCCTGGGCTCAAGCAATCCCCCCACCTCAGCCTCCTGAAGAGCTGGGACCACAGGTGTGTGCCACCATGCCTGGCTAATTTTTGCATTTTTTGTAGAGACGGCAGGCTTGTCTCGAACTCCTCAGCTCAAGTGATGTGTCTGCCTCAGCCTCCCAAAGTGCAGGGATTACAGATATGAGCCACTGTACCTGGCCAGATTTTTCTTAAAATTTTTAAATTATGTAATTTGATATATACTAAAAAATATATGTAATGTATACGTAAATTATAAAGGTTAGATAAACCCATGAGCTCATCACTCAATTTGAGAAATAGAACATAACCAATATGGCTCCTCCCCAATCCCTGCCTCCTGACCCGTGGTCATCTGTACCCTGAGAGGCACCCCCTTCTCATTTTTAAAATGCAGTTCGCCACATGTGCCTGTATCGCTAAATAATGCCTCCTTGAGTTTTGAGCTGTATAAAAATAGTGTCATACTATGTATATTGTTTCTGAGCTGTATCCCTGATGGTGGTCGTATCTTGCAGTTTGATCATTGTCATCTAATGACCATCCTGTGACTATCCACACTTTATCCTTTCTCTTGCCAAGGCACATTGGGGTTGTTTACAATTTTGCTTTACAACTAATGTTGGCATGAACATTCTCTTGCATATACCAGGATACTTTTTTTTGAAAGTTTTTATTTTAATTTTTGTGGGTACACAGTAGGTGTATATATTTATGGGGTACATGAGACACTTTGATACAGGCCTGTGATGCGTAATCATCACATCCTGGTAAATGGATATCCATCCTCTCAAGCATTTATTCTTTGTTTTGTTAAGTTATCCAATTATACTCTTTTAGTTATTTTTAAATGTACAATTAAATTGTTACTGATTGTAGTCACCCTGGTGTGCTATGAAATACTAAGGCTTACTTATTTTTGCTAACTACTTTTTGTACCTGTTAAACATCCCCACTATCCTGCCCCCATACTCCCACCCCAACTATCCCTCTCAGCTGCTGGTAACCATCCTTCTATCTCCAGGAGTTCAATTACTTTAATTTTTACCTCCCACAAATAAATGAGACCATAATAAAGTTTATCTTTCTGTGCCTGGCTTATTTCACGTAACTTAACAACCTTCATTTCCACCCGTGTTGTTGCAAATGACAGGATCTCGTACTTTTTTATGGCTGAATAGTACTCCGTTCTGTATGTGTACCACATTTTCTTTATCCACTCATCTCTTGATGGACACTTAGGTTGTTTCCAAATTTTGGCTGTTGTGAACAGTGCTACAACAAACATGGGGGTGCAGCTATCTCTTCGATATACTGGTTTCCTTTCTTTTGGATATATGTGCAGCAGTGGGATTGCTGGGTCATATGGTAGCTCTATTTTTAGGTTTTCTGAGGAACCTCAAAACTGTTCTCCATAGTGGTTGTACTAATTTACATTCCCACCAACAGTATACAAGGGTTCTCTTCTCTCCACATCCTCGCCAGCATTTGTTATTGCCTGTCTTTGGATAAAAGCTATTGTAACTGGGTTTTTGCCGTTTTGTATGTCTTCTTTTGAGAAATATCTATTCAGATCTTTTGCCTATTTTTTAATCGGATCATTAGATTTTTTTTCCTGTAGAGTTCAAGCTCCTTATATATCCTGGCTATTAATCCTTTGT